GAATAAATAATTATTTGACTGTTTCTCTTTCATTTTGGTTATGCCAATTCTATGCCGAATGAAAGTGTGGTGTCAGTTCCACCAGAAGACCACGGCCGATTCCTCGTGACCAGTTGTCGATCGGCTTTACTGGAAGCTTCATGCTGACGCTGTTTCCGAGGCAATCTACTTCGATTCCGATGAAAAGGAGATAAGCTTTCGTCCGTCATCATCAAAATAAGGTAGCATCGTCACAACCGAATTCAAGCTAACGAGCATAAGCGAACACAAACAGGCACATACACATACACATACAGAGACAGACACACTCACAAACATCGAAGTTGACATATGACGGTAACTAACCAAATTACTTTATACTTGATTAGAGAGTCCAGATGTAGAGTAGGCTGTTTCCGAGGCAACCTTCTTCGATTCCGGTGAAAAGGTGCCAAGTTTTCGTCCGTCATATGACGAACATCATCAGAGCGAGGCAACATCGTCACAACATATTAGTTGTGAATACTTGGCGCGGGCATAGATTGTCTGAAACAGCACCAGCCGAACCGTTCGGCGGTCGTGATCCTCTCGGGTTGAGCTTATGTCAGGACCATAGAGCCTCACTTTCAAAGGCTCCTTAAAACAAGAAGCCAATCAAGACATCCAACTGTAGTCCAACCCACATCTTGCCTCGAATCTTGCCATTGTTCTGCACAATCCCCTTATTTGGCTGACTTTCTCCTTGTTAGGCTTACTTCCATTTCGAGTGAAAGTGTTGCGTGAAGAGATTCGAAGGTTGGAGCTTTCTTGACTCGTTAGCTTGAATTTTGTTGTGACGATGCTACCTCACTCTGATGATTTCCGTCATATGACGGACGAAAACTTGGCACCTTTTCACCGGAATCGAAGAAGGTGGCCTCGGAAACAGCGTCAGCATGAATCTTACAGTAAAGACAATCTACAGCTGGTCAAGAGAAATCGGCCGTCGTCTTCTGGTGGAAGCGACCTTCGAATCTCTTCACCCAACACTTCCACTCAAAATGTAAGTAAGCTCAACAATTATGAAACAAGAAATTCCTCGAAACCCAACTTTTCTTCGCAAACCACACTATGCCTCATCAAATTTGCTATTAGTGGATCTTGGCAAATTGAGACGTCTACCAACTAAATAGCATCAAGCAACAACATTATGTCAAACACACATTAATAAATCAAATTCTATTATCTTGCCAGGCTATAGTTGTGTTTGTCATAGTATAGCGAAATGGCACATGTTATGAAGTTGAAACATACGCACATTTTAGATACGAGGATCAATTGGGTT